AAGTAGTACATTATTGGGTGGATATACTAAAGTTTGTTTACCCATTCACCCGCTGATGGATATATTTAGATTGTTTCCAGTTTCTGATTATCATGAATAAAGCAGCTCTGAACAACTGCAGATATGTCTTCGTGTGGACAAATACCTTCATTTCTCTTGGGTAGACCCGATAAGTGGAATTGCTGGATCATATGGTAAGTTACATGTTTTAAGAAACCAAAAAACTCTTCTCCCAAATGGCAAGGCACAAATATCCAATGTTTCCACCTCCTTGCCAGAGCTTAGCATTGTCTGTCTTTTGGATACAGCCATTGCAGTGGGGGTGCAGTGGCGTCATATTGTGGTTTTAATTTTCACTTCCCTAATGACTACTGATATTAAACATCTTTTGTATACTTATTAACCATTTGTGTATCTTTTTTAGGGTAATATCTGTTTAAATCTTTTTTGCCCATTTTTAATTGTTATCTTATTATAGAGTTATAAGAGGTCTTTATATATATTGGAAACAAGTTCTTTATTCATTATCTGATTTGCAAGTATTTTCTCTTAATTTGGGGCTTATCTTTTTATTTTCTTAGTGGTGTCTTTGGAAGTGCAAAGATTTTGAATTTTATCAATTCTTTCATTTAGAAATCCTGTGTTTGGTATCATTTTGCCAAACCCATGGTCACAAACATTTCATTCTGTTTTCTTCTATAATTTTTTAAATTTTGGCTTTTACATTTAGGTCTAAGATCTATTTTTAGTTAATTTTGGGGATACTGTGAGGCAAGGGTCTCAGATGATGTTTTTATATGTGGGTATCCAAGTGTCTTAGCACTGTTTGTTGAAAAGACTATGCTTTCCCTTCAGAACTGCCCTGATATTTTTGTCAAAATTTAATCAACCATAAAGTTCAGGATTTATTTCTGAACTTCCAATTATGTTGCACTGATCTCTGTACTCATATGTGTGCCAATACTTCAGTGTCTTGATTACTGTAGCATTAGAATAAGCTTTGAAAACAAGAAGTGTAAGTCCTCCAACTTTGTTCTTTATCAAAATTTACATATATAATCCAGAATCAACTAGTCATTTTCAACAAAAAAGTGTGCTATTTAATTTTGACATGTTTAGAGATTTTCCTGCTATTATTTTGTTATTGATTTCTCATTTGATTCCACTGTTGTCGGAGAACACACTCTGTATAATTTTAATTATTTTCAATTTGTTTAGGTTTGTTTTATAGCCCAGGATATGGTCTATCTTGGTGAATGTTCCATGAGGGCTTGAAAAAAAATGTGTTCTCCCATAGTTGGTTGGAGTGTTCACTATGTATCAGTTGGCCCTGTTGGTTGGCTGTGTGGCTGGGCACCAGTCCGTGGCCTAGTGGCCTGTTAGGAACCAGGCCACACATCACTGCCTGAACTAGGACCCCACACCCTCCCACCTCCACCTCTCCACCACCCATCCATGGAAAAACTGTTTTCCATGAAACTGGTCCCTGGTGCCAAAAAGGCTGGGGATCACTGGATTACGTCTTAAATATCCTTGCTAATTTTCTGTCTACAGGAGGTCTTTCAGTTACTAAAGAGAGGTATTGAAGTCTGCATCTAAAACTGTAGATTTACCTATTTCTTCTCAGATCTTTCAGGTTTTGCTTTTTTAATTTTGTGGTTCTATTGTTTGATGTGTGCACATTTAGGAACTCTTATCTTTTTGTTGGATTGATCCTTTTATCATCTAATATCCCCCTGAAGTCTATTTTATCAGACACAGTATATCCATTCTTGATTTATTTGTATGGTATATTTTTCCATCCTTTTACTTTCAATCTACTTGTGTCACTGTGTCTGAAGTGAATTTCTTGTAAATAGCATATAGTTGGGTCATGTTTTTCATCTACTTTGCCAGTTTCTGATTTTATAGATGTATTTTCATTTACATTTAAAATAAATGGTATGTTAGCAATTTTCATACCACTGCCATCTTAACATTTGTTTTCTCTTTGCTTTCTGTTGTTCTCATTGCTGTGTTTCTTTGTGTTACTTTGTTGTAGCAATGTGTACAGGTTATAGCTCTCCACCAGGGAAAGAACCAAGTGGCACTCGAAGAGTCAGAGAACAGCCTTTATTCCTCTGGCAGGCTCAGCACACCTAGTGTTACAACTCTCTTCATGTCTTCTGATCTTCTGCCCCCCCCCCTTGTTCTCCTCCTGCTTTTATACCCTTGGTAGGGCTCAAAAAGTGTCCAATCAACTACAAGCTTTAACATCCAATCAACAACAAGCTTTAACATCCAATCAAAACAGTGGGATTCAAAAATTACCCAATCAGGATCACGCAAGCAGCGTGGCCGGAAGCAGGCGGAGGCACGTGGGCCCGGGGAAGCTCTCTGCCGCAGGCCCAGCCCCAGCAGCGTGCCCTCCAGTTGGCCATGTGCAGCACTGGCCCGCCGAGATGCGGAGCAATGGGGAGGCAGCAACCGGCTGCGTCCCAGCACCAGACATTTTCCGTGTCAACTTGAATATATTTTAAGATTTTATCTTGATTTTTCTATAGTGTTTTTGAATGTGGCTTTTTTTTCTTTTTTGATCTGTTTGTTTTTTGTAGTTATTTTAGTGGTTGCTTGGGGCATTACAATTTATACATGAATTACCACAGTCTACTGGCACCAATATTCCATACTTTGCTAGACTTTTGATGTTAATTTGGGTCATTTTTACCTCCCTCACTTTTAAATAGCCTTGTCTTGAGCATCAGATGGTTTTATAATTTTTGTTTCAATCATCAAATATGACTTTTAAAACTCATGACTATTCATGGAAAGAATAGCCTACAGTATGTACTCATGTTTTTGCTCTTTTCTGTTGCTCTTTCTTCCTAATGCTTCAAGATATTTTTTCTTCTGTTTCAAGAATTTCTTTTAGGCATTATTTTAAAGTAGGTCTGCTAGTGACAACTTCTTTTAGTTTTCCATCATCTGAGAACATCTTATTTCCCTTTCATTCCTGAAGGATAGTTTTGCTGGATATAGAATTTGCAATTAACAATTTTTTTCTTCAGTATTTGAAAAATGTGTTACTTTTTCCTGCTCTCCATGAATTCAGAGGAGATATGCTCTACTATGTACTTTCATTGAAATTTGTCTTCTGTTTAATTATAAAATGTCTTTGTGTAAATTTTGTTGAGTTATCCTACTTAGCAATTATTCAGTTTCTTAAATCTATAGACCTTTGTCTTTTGCCAAATTTGTGGAGTGGGCTTTCACCTATTGTTTCTTCCAATACTCTTTCATCTCCACTCTGTTTCTCCTCTCCTTCTAAAACTCCAGTAATAGAATGTTAGACATTTTTTCCTGTAGGTCATCAAGGAATGTTCATCTTTTGCTTGTTTTTAATCTATTTTGTCTCTGTTGTTCAGATTAGACAAATTATATTGATCTGTCCTCAAGTTCACTAACTTCTCTGTTCACTGACATCTCACTAACATCTCCACTCTACTATGGAGCCCGACCAGTGAGTTTTTCACCTCGGTTTTTGTACTATTTAGTTCTATAATTTCCATTTGTTTGGGGTTTATTTTATAACTTCTCTATATTGGCTGAGATTTTCTATTTTGTCATTTGTTTTAAGAGAATTTGTAATTGACCATTGAATCATTTTTATGACAACTACTTTAAAATCCTTGTCAGATAATTCCAATATTTGATTCATCTTAGTGCTGAGCCAGTCAATTATCTTTTCTCATTCAAAATGTGATTTCTGTGGTTTTTAACATGAAGAGTGCTTTTTGATAGTATCCTGTTAGGAGGCCCTGGGTCCTATTTGAATCTTTTATTTTTGTTGTCAGTCACCCTGTTTAGGTTTATCATGCAATCCTGGCCTGTTTCTGTGGATGATAGTTCCAAAGATATTTTCATTTCCAGAGGCTTTATAGTATTATTTTGGTCTGTTTGGTTTATCTGGTGCCACTGGGCCCTGCAAGTGCTGCCTGAAGGGGTGGAGATTTCCCCAGATTAGGAAGCCAGATGTCTCTTGGTTGTGGAGGGAAGACTCAGGCCCACAGAGATGAAGCAGCTTCCTCACCAGGCCCCTTGTTGTGTCTAGGTGCCTTTTGCTGGCTCTGTCCTTCAGTCCTGATGTCACCTGGCTGGGGAGGTAGGTGTCAGGCCTGGCAGGGAAGGAGAGCCCTTCAACTGGGGCTTATTGTGGAAGGGGCTTCCAAGTCCCCTCCTTGCTGGTGATCCAAGGCTCATCTAAGTTTTTCAAATCAACTCCCATCAGATCCAAGGGAGGAAGGAGCGTACCTGGATGCTTTCTGTTGCTAGGTTGGAGTAGGGAAAACCAGGTCTGGGCCACCTTCTGCTGTGGGATGGGGAAACAAGAGATGTCCTGCATCTGTGCTATTTCTCCAGTCCTGGGGTCCCAAGTCAGTTTACCTTCTTTTCATATCTTTCAAAGTCCTCCTTTGATGGTTTCTTGTGATATTTCTAGTGTTTATAGTTTTGCTTAGTGGAGAAGAAAAGGAAAAGGTTGATCTATGCCATCTTGTCTGGATTGAAGTCCCCAATTTTGTAATGCTTTGAGTGTGCAATATTTCCTATAATTATTATGTTCTCTGTGAGGTGTATCCCACAGCTAAAAGTGGGGCATAGGACAAGCCAGCACGGATGAAGGGGATCAGGAGTGCTTGTGGTCAAAGGTATCAAAGTGCAAGCCCGCTGCAAGCCCCTCCTAAGCAGGGAGCAGCCCTGCAGGCCCACATCTGAGCCGCCTCCGGCATGCATGTGGGGTCACACGAGCCACCACGTGCGCTCTGAAGTCTCTGGAGGGGATAACCAGAACGTGGACTCTGGAAACTTGCAAATGCCTGCAGGACACACACCTTTAGGCTGGTTTGTGGACTAATATGCAGACTTTTAGGTAAAAATACAAATTTAACCAATTCCTTGGTAATATCAAAAAAATATAAAATAGAAAAGAGCTCCATTTGAAAAAAGGAAGAAAATGTTCTTACCTGTTCTGAGGGCATTTCACCAAATAATGTCTCACTGTGAAAGGAAAAACAATAGAAAATGGTAAATCAATGCTACTCCAGATGTATGTGCTCCAGGGATTACTAGGAAATGCAGGGCCCTAGGTGTTATTCAGGTGCTGGTGCCGCACCAGCCAGCTCTCAGGGCTTCTGTACTTCTCTCTGGGGAGTGCAGTGAATTGATATTCCAGCCCTGGAGCTAGCCAGACACCAAGCCAGACACCCCAAAGTTCCTGGTTTCATAACCCAAAATGTTCATGTTTGGCCAAAGCAGGTTGAGTCGGGTTCTAACCTGAAGGGTCCCAGAGTAATAGGGTCACCCAACTTCTGAGCTCTGCCTGAGTCACAGAAAGTCCTCTTGGGGCCAGACAGGACAACTCATCTCCACTTAGAAGATCCTCATCATAAAATGAGGCTGCATTCTCTGACTAATGCTCTTCCGGGACTAAAAAGAGGTCCTTGGGAAGACAGTCTTGGAGCAAGCCATCCTTTTAGAGTAGCTCTCCGTGAGGAAAAACAAGGGATTCTGGCTGCAGAGGAAAAATAAGAATACTTAGGCACTTAATCCAGCAAGTGTCCAATCTAAGGCTCACAGTTCAGTTTACTTCAAATAGAAGTAAAGCCAATGGGAGGCTGAGGTGGGAAGACTGCTTAAGGTCAGAAGTTCAATCCCAGTCTGAGCAAGAGCAAGACCCCATCTCTACCAAAAACAGAAAAAATGACCCGGGCATGGTGCACATGGCTGTAGTCCCAGACACTGAGGAGGTTGAGGCAGGAGGATTGCCTGAGCCTCACTGTTTGAGGTTGCAGTGAGCTATGATGACGCCGCTGCACTCTACTCAGGGTGGCAGAATGATACCCTATCTGCATAAAAAATAAGAAAGAAAAAAAAAGGAAGAAGCTAAAACAATCAGGGGAGGTTCGGGTGTGTGGTCTCTTGTCACATCAATCGACCCAGTGACTCCCACCTGCTGGTACCCGGCCACACCCACAGATAACCCTCACAGGCACGCCGACTGCAGGCTTGGCCACATGACTTGCTTTGGTCAAGGGAACATCAGACAGTGTGCTATAAGCAGAGGCATAAAGGGCACCTGTGCTCTGAGGTTTGCTCTCCCTCTTGCTACCACATGAGGAAGCCTGGCTGGCCCACTGGAAGCCGAGACAGCACGGATCAGGCACCGCCACTCCAGCTGAGGCCCAGAGCCCCCAGGCCCTGCTGCTCCGCCGGCCAGCTACAGCTGCGTGACTGACTCCAGCGAAGACCAGACGATGAACTGCACACTGAGCCCAGCCCAGGCTCCTGACACATGGAGTTGTGGGCAAATAAAGCGGTTTTCTTAAGCTATTGTATTTGGAGTGATCTATCATGCAGGTAACCAATGCAGGTTCTAGAGCAGTACAAGAGAACCTCAGCTTCAGCAGGTGCTGTATAGGCCTATCTGGTCCAACCCCCTATTAATACCTAAGCTCTTTCTGCATTCTATTTATTGAGTACCTACTGTGTGCTAGATAATTCATAGGTGCAACAATAACAACCAGAGTTAGTATTTATTGAACACTTCTTGTGCTCCTGGCACTATTCTAAGTTTATTAAATGGATCAGTGGTCTTCAGTCTAGGGTTTGCATAGCCCCTGGGTACACTTTTGAAGAACAGTTTTAAGGGAATTAATTTCTAGATATTCATCATCCATAGTATTCTTCCCTAAGAATTCATTGCTTTGCAATATGCCTGGTGCCTGGCTGTATTCCTTCCCCTACCCCTTTTTAACACCACCCTTTTCTATTCATAAACTCAAAGCATACCCTACAAGCACCCTCACTTACCCTCTGTCCACCTGTCCTTGAGGGAAATGTCAGTGGGCATCAAACAAGAAATGATGTAAAATACTGACATCTGTGTCAAAAAAGCAAATGACCAATAACTGGGCAACTAAACCTTACACAATAGGGGAAGTTTCCAACATTTTGCTTTTGACAGTGATTGAACCATGACCTAATCCAGCTGTCAGATGGTAGAATATTAAGAATCATTTTTGGTGACACATCATTATGTGGCCTTTGACGTACAACTTAGAAGCAGTTTAAAGTACTAGGTGGTATGAGACAATTTCATCCATTCATGCCTCTTTGTATATTGAATGAGGGATTTCAGAGCTAATATTATTAACAAAATAGGAATAGAATTGGTGATGAATTCTAAGCAAATTCACACAAGGACATAAAAATAAAAATTCATTTCAATAAAAATGCATTTCCAATAAAATTTTACTTATTATTATTTATCTAAATTTATGACATATTTATGTCATTTTGATTAATTTTATACTAATTTTCCAAAGCTTACTAATTGTGCAATATTGATAATTCAGTCTAAAAAATATTTTAATACTTAGAGACCTACAGAATTAGGAAATGAAAAAATTATTAATGTAATTTGTACACACATACTATCTTACAGATAAGTATGACAGGGTAATCAGTACAGAACTTTCAAAACAAAGGATGTATTAAAGTAGGACAAGATTTTGTGGAAGTGAGTTGAAGATATAAGTTCAAAGAATAAAAGGGGCAATATAAAATGTCTAACAGCTAAAGTTTGGCAGGGGTCTTTTTTTCTCATGAAGTCTTTAAATAAACAAAGACAGTTGTTAAATTCAAGACATTTAGATGTATAAGAGAGATGGACATAACCATTTCATTTTTAAGATGTTAATATTTGTACTGGAAATTACAACCTTTGTAACAATTTACATTTTTATGAAAAAGTTTAGATGTTAACAAAAAACAATTAACGGTGCATAGTTTTTGAAATTATTTCAGGAGCTATGGAAGCAAACATGTTTGAAGCCCACAACTTTGTACTCTAATTTAACCTTCATAATAAATTTACAGTGGAGGATGCTGAAGCACAGAGAGGTTAACAAACCTGCCTGAGGTCACACAGCTGGTGTGGGGCTGAATTATGTCCCCTCCAAAATTCGTATGTTGAAGGGCTAACCCCTACTACTGCAGAATGTGACCACATTTGGAGACAGGGTCTTCAAAGAGGTAATAAGGTTAAAGTTAGGCCATTAGGGTGGGCCCCAATCCCCAACATGACCGGTGTCCTTAGAGGAAGAGGACATTCGCACAGACACACACAGAGGGAAGACCGCAGGAGGGTGCAGGGAGAAGACGGCCACCTATAAGCCCCAGGAGGAACCCGCCCACCTGACACCCCGACCTCTGACTTCCAGCCTCCAGAACTGTGAGAACACAGGTGTTTGGAGTTAAAGCCGCCCGGTCTGTGGCACCTTGCCGTGGCAGCCTGCGAGCCCGCACACGGGGAAGCATGCAGCCTGACCAGCGCCCGCTCCTGACCACGCCGTCCGCGGGGTCCACAGGGCTTCGTGCCAGCACCCCGCCCCAAAGGGTACCCCAAACTGGAGACGTTCGAGTCCCTTATATAAAATGGTGTAGCATTTGCACACAACCTACACACATCCTCCCATATACTGGAACACACTGACCGCCACGTGAGTTGTATTTAACTCAGGCTAGGTTTTTTTTTTGTTTTTTTTTGTTTTTTATTTATGTATTTCAGAATATTATGGGGGTACAAACATTTTGGTTACAGGTTATGACTTTGCCACAACCAAACCATGATTCGAGGCATATCTTTTCCACCCTACAACACTCACCGCTCCATCAGTTGTGAGTTCACCCACCTCCAAGCCCCCAAGCCCTGATGAGCACTGCCACCGTGCGAGCACCGCAGTGTTGATCCGAGAGTGCCCATTTCATGGCGAGTGCATGTGGAGCCCATTCTTCTGATCTTGTGATACCTCACTTCGGAGGATGGGCTCAAGCTCTATCCAGGAAAACATAAGACGTGCCAGATCACTGTTACAATTATAAGGCTAGTTTTAACCCCAGGGCCTCATGAAGCAAAACCCTGCAGTTGGTTGGTGAAAATCTTACTTGATGTTCTTATTGATACAATTAATATTGACAATTTAATTCTGAAAACTTGCATTGCATTGTATATAACTCACACACAGAAAACAATAAAAAATAACAAATTAGAAAGGATTGTTTTGTTTTAGTAAAACACCGAGGACCCAGGGGAAAACCTTTTTTCTGACGTGGCAGTCAGTGTGTTGCATCATCTCTAGATTACTTACAATACCTAATGCAACATAAGTACCACGTAAATAGTTGTTAGACCATATTGTCTTCTATTTGTACTGTTATTGTTGCATCGTTATTTATTATTACTATTTTGTTAGTACTTTCCAGCTGCGGTTGGGGACTCGCAGATGCGCACCCGCAGATACGGAGGACCGGCTGTGTTCTGTGCTGTTCTCAGAGACCCGGGGCGGCTGCCGTTAGGGCTCCTGCCGCTGCAGGACAGCCAGCCCACTGCGCCGCCGGGGGCCAGGCAGAGCTGGGGCTGAGACCGAGAGAATGCCCGGAGCGGACCTGTGTTTCGGGACATCCAGCCCAGGGCAGCAGAGTGGGCAGCCTGGGGGGCAGGAGGGCAGCCTTGGGGCTCCCTGGGGGGCAACTAAGAAGGGCCAGCCTCCCGGCGAGGCCGGTCAGGCCAGCGTGCAGAGGACACACCCCACCAGCACCTGCTGACAGTCTAAGGTCTCAGCCAGGTGTGTGCAGGGCTGGTGGTCCAATCAATAAGGAGAGGCTGCCCATAGGACCAAAACTGACTCTGTACATCAAAGGTGAGGCTTATGGGCATCCGAGAAACAGAATTCACCCAAAGGCCCCTTAAGTGTGCCAAGCATAGTCAGTGCTGCTTACACAGCCGTGTGTGCCTCACTTGGCTTGGACCCCCCCAGACGCAGAGCCCATGAGGCAAGGTCCCAGTGCCAGGAGTGCACGTGGGGGCAGAGCCAGAGCCGAGGACACTCACTGGGGATGGCGGGGACCAGGAAGAGAAGCAGCCCGTGAAGGGTGCATGACGGAGCCTGTCCCCACCATGGGCCGTGGCCTTGCACCCAGGCATGTGACCTGGAGGC